TGGTCTCTCGGTGCGCTTTATCAGCCTTGTTGCCATGGCGACATACGACCCAAGTAATAGCTTACATAAATCGGCTAAGTAAGTTGGCACACGGAGTAATTTCGGAGCTGATTTCGGGCAAAGAACAAAAAAGGCAATAAAACACCGGCGAGGGGAATTCCACAAAGACAAGGGGCTAAATAAGCATGATCTTAAAAGTGGCGACCAAAACAGTAAACGGCCGAGCCTTTTACCCGAGCCTATTAGAGCTAAGTGTTTAAGCCTCTGTACCCACCCCCTCCATACACCCACCCCCTCAATTTCAATAAAAATGATCCTGGAGCCCAAAACGCAGGAAAGGGAATCTGCAGTTTCATTATTTCATGTAAAAATGCAGAGATTTCAGAAAGCTGCATTACATTTTATTGTGAAGCAATACGATTTTCTCACCAATCTGGTTTATTTTTGTTAATTTTTGTTACTTCGTTTTGATATGGGAATCCATGGCTCTTCAATGTCCAGTCAGCATTTAGCAGGGATCTACACACAGCATTGTGCCCATTACTCTGCTGGTATAACACCATTTATACTTTGCTGACCTTTTTAAAAGGCTTGCAAACAGTCACTCAGGGGCTGTACTGAGGCAAAGGACCACATCTCACTTGCGTTGTTCCCAAAAATCACAAATTTGTTGCATTTTGACCAGCAGCTTGATAATGAGGAGAGAGAGAGAGATAAAGTGTGAAGGAGAGAGCAAGAGAGAGAAAGTGTGAGGGAGAGAGTGAGAGAGAGCAAGAGAGAGAGAGAGATAGAGAGAGAGAGATGACAGGTACCAGCATAATCACTGTGTTCTCTGAATGAGTACATCAGTAAATCAAATAGAGCTGTAAAGAACGCGGAATGAACTGAAGTTACAGTACTCATGAGGATTCAAGCTTGTTTGCCGAGAAGCACTTTTACCAGATAATATTTATTGACCTAAATATTTTTAATCTCCTCCCATTTCCTCCCTTAAATTCTGACTATATCTCATTCTGAATAAAACAGGGGCGGCAGGACACATACATACAGTGAAGGATATCTTCTGTATCTTATGGTGTGGTACTCTCAACAAGGCACTCTAAAAATTAGATTATGGACAGATTGTGAGCATGGGAATGTAAACATCTTTACCTAGATTTACACCAACTGTCTTCAAGCCAGTTTGATTTGCTCAGTCTCATTTCAAGGCAAGCTGTTGGATTTATGAAATCCAAACTAAACACATAGCCTTAACCGAAGCTCTTTATATACTATTCAAAGGGTGTCAAAGTATGTCCCATTGTAATCAGTCATATTAGAAGGGAAGAACAAATTAGCGCTATCCAACAGCTAAGGAGGACAGACACTCTTAACTAAAAGTTTTAGAGACCCCAGTGACAACTGCCTTTGTGATCAAAGGCCGACGTATACCAAATCAGCTATGACATCATAAGCCGACATCATCGTTGTGATACAGGAGCTCCCATTTTCCTGTCAACAGTCAATATTCCACTGGGTTGTAGGACGTTAGGAGTTTTGTGGGAGGAGTTACTTACCAGAAATAAGCTATATAGCCGTCCCTCGGTTGACAAGTTCTACCGGTCTGTGAAATTTTTACACAAAGCATGTCGGTTCATCAAAAGGCTGGACACCACATAATGTAGCAGAAGACCAGAGAGACCAGGTGAATGAGCATTTTGCTTGCAATTATACAGGACTGAAGATCTTGCTGAACTAAGCTGATAGCTACCAGGCAATTAGGGTTTAGCCATTTAAACTGCATGCCACACAGCGTAAATAGGTTACACAACGGAGCACCTGGTAATGTTTCTTTGCACAAACTGTTAAGGGCCATAAGCAATTCATTTATCAAAGCAAGAACCACCGTATGGCCCTGGTTCATAGACACATGAGCTGGCAAACGGCCATCTAGAGTTCCTGATGTGATTTCAGGAGCAACCTGGTAGGCATATGATTCCTGCCCAATTATATTAAGCCAAGTGTCCTTCAACAGCAGAAGATTTGACCTTTTAAAAAACATATACAAGTGTAGAATTAAGAATTCTATATATTCCCATATGTACACACAATTTATTGTTAGATATACCTGAAAGCTACAGACGTATTTGCCATAGAATCTACTTTCAATTAATGATCTAAGTACAATATACAAAGAGGAATTTATTGGAATTTAGGAAATATAGGCAATCAATGAGCTTAACACAGAAGGAAAGCTCATTAATCCCCCTTTCGCTGAACAGAACTAGCTGGCAAAGGGTATGTTAGATTCCCAGACTGGGTACTGCTGCCATTTAGGTGATGCTACCATCTGCAAGGTTTCACCTTTTGAGCTGAGCATCGCCCGTGAGGCCAGGCGTACGCAACAAACTCTGCTTGACACCAGCCAAAGCAGGAAAAGGCCTGGACATCATTATTCATCAGTTAAGTAGCTGTGGAATCTGCACTCTTCTGCCAGCATTAATCAGCTGATCAGGATTAGTGAGGGACTGATGCTTTCAGTCATTAGAAATCAATAGCTGTGGGTATTTCTGTGGCTTATAGAAACATCAGTTCCATTTGGTTGGATTCCATTTGATTCTATTAATTGGATTTCAGCAGAATTGTTCAGGAAATGCTTTTAATCATTATTAATTACGGCACTCGCTGGTTGTATCTGGCATTAGCGGTAATGACTGTATTCAACGGTAATGACAGTGGCTGTAGCTTGCACTCTATTCCAGGGGTCTTCAACCTTTCTTGAACTAAGGACCACCAAATGAAAGCAGACCAGAACTAAGGAGCCACTGATTTCATAAATAACGAAGAACTAATGGCCAGGGGCTGAACCTCTTGAATATGTTTTAGCTTTGAGGATGCTGCTGGTTGAATAGCGTTGAGAAAGTTATTTAAAACTCTGTTTTGTTGAGAGAAAGAAATAAAATAGTGAAGCAGGCAATCCGGGGGTCATGGGGCTTCCTTATGACTGTTGCTCTATTCTAACACATATAGTATGAAATGGGGGTGAACCTTATATGGTAATGGCAGCGTATTTGCACATATTACAGTGTTTTCACCCATCATCCATCTCCCGACTGCTTATCCTGGTCTGGGCTGTGAGCAAGTGCTTCCCGAAGTATTAAAAACTTCATTTCGTACTTTAGTTTGTTTAGTTGTAATGTTTAAAAGGGCTGGGTGTGCCATTACGTGGCACTGCATCTCCATGACGACCCACTGGCCGTACTGAGGATGAAATGGTCTTATTATCGTTCACTTCCATTAGAATGTTTTTACAGTGTCAACAAAGTATAAATACACTCCCCTCTTGTTTTATGAGGTTGGGCAGCATTGACCAAAAAAAAAAAAAAGGGGGGGGGGGGGGGGGGCTGTCTTGGAAATGACCCAAGCTCTCAGCAGGAGCAGGTGCTGAGCGGCATGGGTTCATCTGCATGGGCTTTGTAAGGGACACATGTTAATTAAAGATGGGCAATGTGGCTGGGGAACTCATCGACTGTGGCCCACACACTGGCTCCGGGCGTGCAGGACACGGGTCAGGACCAGAAGCTCCATTGTCGAGCCCACATTGTGTGTGTCCAACGAGGAGGAAAAAACTCAGCTTTCCAAATCAGTCATCAAAAATCCATATCACTCTGACAACTGGCCCCCTGTCTAACTTAATATATTGCTGTTTATTTAAAGCAAATAAAGAGGAGGAAAAAAACAGCTTGTAAATGTTTGACTGAATGAGACTATAAATCTAGGTCACATGTCGACACAGATTATTATTAAAAAATGTATCTATCTGGGGGGAAGGCTCTTTGGCATTTTACACTTTAACAGGTGCACAAGAATATATATATATATATTTTAAAAGAATAGGATAAGAGGAAATCTCAATGGAATTAAAATGAATCACACTGAGCCTAATCATATCTAATTCCCAGTTGCTTTAGACCGTAAAATGCTGATCCAAATTTTGAATCAACACCTATTGCCTCATATTGCAAAGTATATAACAATAAACTCGTTCACGAGTTTGTGTATTAAAACATACAAGAAGCAGTTTTAAGCAAGAATTCCCACCGATTTGTATTTATATAGAGCATATTTATATATTTATATAAAGTTATTGTAGGGAATTATGAAGCGCCACGGGAAACGTGCAGCAGTGAAGTTCTCAGAGTCTGAGATGCACTTCTCAATGCTGCACTACTGTCCATTTTCAAATGTTGCGTTTGGTCGCCATGGACACCCACTTCAACATCCCCCCCCCGACAGGCCCCTCCCACCTCACACATCAGCATTCAGGTCATGCACAGCACTTGCCTTTTAAATTTTCATTTGATCATAAGCAGTTTAAGATCGGTGCCAGCCTTTATTTGTGGTTTCCTGCAGACCTGTTCACAACGGCCCCTAACAGGGCAGCCCGCAATTAAACCTGAGCCATGGGACCTCTAATCAAAAGTCTGAGCACAATAAAAAAAACAAACAAACAAAGTGTTACAAATAGAAGATAAAAATATTCAAGATGGATTAGGATGTGTGGATACATTTTGTAACTGTGTTTTAGGGGAAAAGGCAAATTTTTGCATTGAGGGAAAAATGGGTGAAGTTGTTTAACATTTTATGTTGCAGATTTATGATAATTTGTGATTACAACCCCCACCCCCACCCCCTAAGATTTTCCCGGGAAAATTAACACCCTGAGGAGCTCTTCATAACGGAGGATTATTTATATAAAAAAAGCAACCAGAAAGAACCCAGGAATTAGATTACTAATAGTACTGTACTGATAAATAAAACAAGATTATTGAGGTAAAAACAAATTATTCCATAATTTTGAGTCCTTGTACATCTGACACTGTTAGCATTAATGTGATCACTGAAAACCAATCTGCAATTTAAAGGAAGCATAAAATAAAAATCCCCATTTGTTATGCTTCATGTAAATGCTCACTGTAATAATCATAAACCTCAAACAAACACTGAAATGAAACGATTCCTTTAAGTGTTCCAGATTGTTATATTTAATTTCAAACAGTGAGACACAATGAAATATATAATACTCAGTACAAAATTATGGTTAATATATTAGTAATGGAACTCATCACCATTTCTTAACCTTATGACCAAATTAAAATGAACAGGCCGATTGATGATCTAAACTCATTAAGAGCTGAAACCAGATGGACTTTTACCTGAAATACATTTATTCTAAAGATAGAGCAGAAAGGCAGTTTTTTTTCCCTCTGTATGCAAAATACAAACAATATTTACTGCTGCTATTTTAACTCATAAAAAAGTATAAAACAACAGAAGTGCACACTAAGTGACTTACCAATCCACACGTCACCAAAGAGCTAATCACATATGAATCCTTTACATATGGTCTGACATGTACATCTTTTTCTGTATAGATTCTTCTACAGCTGGCTATGACAATGTATCCAAATGGTAATTAACCCAGCCCCACACATTTCTGGTATTAAAGGGTAATGTTAAAATATGTAAATTATGAACATGTATTTTACATCTGCCATAAAATATTCGCTTTTTTTGTTTTTTTTTTTTACACAAAATAAAAAAAATAGAAACAATTTATCAGTCTTAAAACTCTGAGGTAAAGACGAAACATTGTGTTTTTGGAGAGCTTTCAGATAATCGGCATGGGAACATTTTCATGAAGAGAAGCATGTTGGACTTGGCCTCGTCCCGAGACACTTACAGCAGATTACATTACAGTTTAAAGATGTCAACTAAAATGAGTGTACAGCAGTTTTTTTTTTTAATAATGTGTGCCCCCTTTCTATTCAGGCCTGCCGTTCCTTGGGAGAGAGTCTTTACAATACCAGCTGAATTCATTTCAAACGCATCTCATAAATTCCAGGGGTAACTGGAGCACAGCAGAGAGTGAGGAACATATGGGCAAATGGAAAGATGCGCAAGTCACAGGTTCATTTTCCACTGAGCATTACGTTACTAGTCAGCAGTCATTTGAGTCACCGATTACAGTCATTCCACCTTTGTTTTTTGTTTTTTTGAAGTTTCCATCAGGCCAGTACACAAAGGATTCCATCCCAGGAGTATCCCTGGTTAAGCTAATTCAGCTTTGCCCGATGGGAGGTGTCCGCCTGCAATAATCAATCCCTATAAATAAAGCCTCGGTGTTAAATGGGAGCAGGGTGTGTTTTTTTTTTTTTTGTTGCGGGGGCACTGCGCCGTTCCTCCTTGTGTGTCTCGAGGTGGTTTTGAAATGTGGTAACAGAACGGTCTAAACGCTGAGCTGCTCACCAGCTCCCCCTATAATAAAGAGTTGCGTCCACATGTCTGCCCATGTGGGGGGGATTCAGTTCACTGTAAAATGCACAAGTCCTTACACACTTCTTAAGTGCAACTGAGGAGAAAGCAGCCAGCAATGCTGCATATATCAGGTTCCTCTTATCCGAGAGCTGGGGTTTTGGCTTAGTAGATGCTGACCTGGGACAGGACCTGCGTGTGGGCCTGGATCTGGGACAGGGGCTGCTGAGGCAGAGTGGGCTGGGGGCTGCCCACAGACTGGGGCGCGCTGGGGGACCGCTGCGGGGGGGAACACTGAGACTGGTGCTGCTGGAGCTGCTGCTGTTGCTGCTGCTGCTGCTGCTGGAGCTGTTGCATTTGCTGCTGGTGCAGCTGCTGCATGTGGATGTGTTGCAGCTGCATGTGCTGTTGCACGTGCTGTTGCTGCTGCAACTGCTGCTGGAGATGGTGCTGCAGCTGGTGCTGGAAGGGCTGCTGCTGGTGCACCGGCTGGTGGTGAAGGTGCTGGTGCCGCATGTGGGCCGACTGCACGGCCGAGCTCATCTGCCCGCCCACCGCCATGGATTGCGCTCCAGCCACCAGGGCTCCGCCGGCACCCATCTGGCCCAGGAGCTGCGAGGGCGTGGCTGAGGCGACACTCTGGGGTCCTGCTGGCACGGAGGCTGTGATCTGGCTACCCGCGAGCCTCAAGTGCAGTGGCTTGGGGGCGATGGCGCGCGGCAGGGCCTGCTGCAAGGCCTGCGCAGCCGCAGACACGGCAGGGTGCTGAGCCAGAGGGGCACCGAGCATCAGAGACGCCGAGAGGTTCGTGGAGGCCAGCGTCTGCTGGACCGTCCGAATGGTCTGGGCTTCAGCGGACTCGGCCGCGGCCTGCGGGAGAGAGCAACACCAGCACTTCAGTCACCGCCAACTTTTTCAGGTCCTTTTGTAGTGAACTATTTAGTGAACTACTCTGGTCATTCACAAGCTTGTGAACCCTTTTGTGGAAAAGTGCCAATCAGAAACAAATTCATTAATAAAAGGCAAAGAGTTTCACCTTTGATACCAGACTGGCTCGGTAGGCGGCGAGGGCTTTTAAGTAGTCCTTTTTGGCAGCTTCTGTTTTGCTTTTATAGACCTGCAATGACATTGAGAGTAATGCACATAAGGATGGATGATTCAAACTGTGCATTGACAGTAAACACTATAGACACTGTTATGCAGAGCTGTAGAAGCCAATCAAAAGCTCTATTTTGAGGTTACCTGCTTCTGCTCTTCTCCCAGACCGTCCCACATAGAAGCCACTATTTTGGAAACCTCGCCGAAGGTGGCATTGGGGTTCTGGCCCTTGATGGCTGCTTGTGTGTCCCGGAAGAACAGTGCATAGGCAGAGACCGGCTTCTGCGGCTCGTTGGGGTCCTTCTTCTTCTTTTTCTTGGGGGTCTTGGGTTTCTTTGCTGCATCAGGGGCAGGCCGCTTTTCACCAATTACCTACAAAAGAAAAAAAGCAGGTAATTTAATGTATGCCACTGTTCACTCATCAGGAACTGGGAGGAATAGGACAGGTCTTTCTGATGCCAATCAATACAATAGTAAATTGTATTGATTGGCAAAAAAAAAAAAAAAAAAAAAAAAAACAATTGTCTAGATCTATAAAATGTATTATGGTTTAGAAGAAAAAGAAACATNAGGAATAGGACAGGTCTTTCTGATGCCAATCAATCCACCACCCCCGAAAAAGGGGGAAAGTAAAAAAAACAAAAAAAAAAAAAAAATGAATGAATACATTTTTAAAATGTATTATGGTTTAGAAGAAAAAGAAACATAAGTATATGTGTTTTGATTCTGAAAAGAAGTACAGTACATATCGTAAAAGTTACCCTGTTGGTATCATCAGGGTCCTCATCATTGATTGAGCTGGAAGGAGAAGGGGTGGCAGACTTGCTGGCAGGAGGTGACGGTGAGGTATGAGGAACGTTTGGTCCCCTCATGTTTAAGCCCAGTGGTGCACTGAGCTGAGATTGGCTGACAGTGGTCAGGTGGTTTTGTGACATCATGGCCGAGGAGTTACTCATGTTGATGATAGATCTCATGACCACGGAGGGGTCTGGGTGATACTGTCGAAGATGGGCTTGACCAATGTTCTAAATTAAAAAGAGAAAGAAAAAACATTATCCCATTTTATTGAAGGAGGTATTTTGAATAAAACTTGTTATGGTTAAGCACACAAACGTCAGAGTACTAGTACAGGCATTCAATGACATTATACCTGACCGTTAATTGATACTTACACACTATACTATACAATACAATATACAGAACAACATGCAGGTGGCTACTCAATAAAGAGTTATTAAATTTACATTACATTACAGTCCAATCAAATCAGTAACATTCTGATACCATGCCTACTTTGCAGAAATGCATATCCAAATCTCTCTATATTTAGGGATAAATAGATGCATTCAAAATCTACAGAACATATGACAGAAAGCTAAATCAGTATGATCGGCCGCGCAAACAAATACCACTAAAATGAGATCTAAGCGTAAACAACATCTTTCCCACTTTCCACAAATACTCGTGCTAAAAGGCTTCGGTTTTTAAAAGCTTACAAAGGAAGGAGAGATTAAAAGGGTACACACAGAGATGGGGAACGATGTCAAACAACCGAATGAGTCCATTCATCTTGAATTCAGTACCACACACTAGAATGTATTTTAACATCAACACAATATCGGGAAGGCGAACTCCTCCATTACCGACCGGACTAAAAGCAGTCTACACTTCATACAATAAAGCATACTACTTCTCCAGCACACACATAAACACATTCTTACTTAGTCAACAATACTTCAACACATATTATTATTACCATTAAAGTAACCCTTTAGAAAATGGATGATGGGAGAAAAGATGGCTGAATATTACCACCTTTTTTTTTGCTTGACCATTCTCAATACTTGGTAATATTGAATCTATCAGGAGTCAGAGTAACTGAACATCTCCAGTTATGGCAAATAACTCAGACAGGGGAACAAACAAACAAAAAAGCATGTAAAGATACGGACAAAAAGAGATTAACCAAAAATGTCTCATGGGAAAATGATTTTTCCTTATTACAGTCATCAATCAAGACAGCGTATTACAAAAGATGACAATGAATTAAAGATCAGTGGTCAACAATAGAATGCTTATTATCAGATTGTAATTTCAGATAGTAAATAAGCCACGCTCCCATGTCCCATGGACTGTGATTATGTTTATTTATATGTTTTATGAAACACACAGTGAGACTATCAGTATGATGCAGCCATTTAAATTTAAAGCACTGATGTCAGCTTATATCTGGGTTTAAAGGTACGCGATGGCCACAGAGGAGAGCAGTGGTGTGGTGTTTTGGTGTCTGTCCTATCTTCAGATTCACTATGTCACTGACAAGATGATCGTTTGTGACAGAGCAGGACTCACTGAACTCTGCGTAATCCCAGCATGCAACCTCCCCAAAAGCACCTCCCATTCAGTCTTGTTTTCAGGATGAAATCCCATTTACATAGTTGCTAATGCACCACAGAACAAAGGTCTATCCACAAAACCCAATCTCACATGCACATCTGATTCAAAGAAACCCGGTCAACTATACAGTAAACAGGAGCGAATCCAGCCAACGGAGGAGCTCAAGGTTTGTTCCCACAATGCACTATTGCCACAATACATGGTGCTGTGTAAGCTGTAACTGACTGAAAATAAAATGTTAACAAGTTCAATTTCCATTCAATCACTAACAGTGCTCTTGGAAATGTGTCATTCCAGAAGAGGAGCAAAATCATCTATATGGTAATTATGAAGATGAATCCAGCAGTAGCTTTCAGCAGCATGAAAGGTCAGCCCTAATAAAGAGAGTTTATCAGTCTCTGGTGCATAGTTCCTCTATTTTGCTTTTAAACAAGAACACTATTTTATTTTCTCATTTACAGGTGCCCGCATAATTCAGTACTTAAGGCAAATGGGACAAATTCAATTTTTGAATGTGAGCAAAGGCTGTAAGTGCATTTAACAGCATAAAAAGCATTTCTTGTCCTTTTTCTCATGTGTACACATACATCTTCTTATATGCAGTTCATCTCTTTTTTCCATTTATACTCTCCTGCTGCTCCACCCCATACCCTCATTCTGATTTTTTCCCCACTTTCGTCTTGGAGTCCGCTACCGCTCCATGTCCCTCCTCCCTTTAACTATTTCTCCTGGTGCACTGTGGGTATTTAAAAGTTGTTCAACATGATTTCATTTCATTTTGAGCGCTGCCTGAGAAAACAAAATTACAAAATCAATCACAGAGAAGGTCAGACTGAGACTTCATTACAAGAACTGCATGCTTGTGTGAGTATCTTTCATGTCTGACTGACCCAATATGTCACCCCAGCGTACTGGTAAAAAACACAGAACGGGGGGGAAGAAAGGCACTTTCTGAAATTGATGTACAACTGATGTCAATGCCACTCAGCTTGGAAGAGAGATAACGTAAAGGTGTAAAAAAAAAAAAAAAAGGTTTCTGCAACACTGGTTAAATTTTCTATTTTCTGTACCAGAGAGATGTACCATTCTGTGACTCTGCAAGACCAGATGATTATCTAGACTGACAACCTACCAGGGATTACATTTTTAATAAAATGAAAAAAAAGTTAAACGACAAACTAGTTTAAAATCCTAAATGATCATGAGTTCTGCTGCTACAATTTCATTTGGGAAATGTAACCAAAAAAAAAAAAGCATAGATATTCAATGATATTCACATCTGTAGAAAGGTTGCAGAATTGTCGCATCCAGGAACCCCGTTCACACCAACAGTAGTTAAGAAGGCCTTACGACAACCACAATTAATATTTTTCATAATTGTACAACTTCTGACTTCAGCCAGCAGCATTCATTTTATAATGCATATAATGTATCAAAGGTTTGTTTTGAGACTGCTTAGATAGTCCGTCCTGTTGATGCAAACCCATTTGTAACATATCTGACCGTACTGATACAGAAGAAAGCCTTTTGTGAGATGTCACGGCGTAACATTCAGGTATGCTTCATAAACCATTACAGAGTAACCACAGCTTTCAGAAATGTGTGTTTTGACATCAAGCAAAGCCTGAAGGGGACTGGAGATAAAGCGAAAGTGACGGGTTTACTTTCAATAGAATTTGGCACAACTGAAACCAAATGAGAAATCTGGTCTGTATGAGATGGGATGGGATGCATGCTGGGAAACAAAAATGAAAGTCAGAAGCTTGTTAGGCTGGCAGATTAAATAAATAACGGCTGCAGGTCCCAGGCATGCAGGAGATTTCTGAAGCAGAAGGCATCTGTGGCCTATTTTAAAGATACACATGAAGTGTAACGCTTGGCAATTCGAATGACAATTAGGGTGTCTGAATGTAATAGCAGCACGGTCTGTAAACTCCACTGTACTGCATACAATAATTAATGACACAAACACTACATTGTGAACAACTGAATGAGAATTTAAATTTAATGAGATTTCTTTTTTTTTTTTAACTGCTGGGTAGCATAAAAAGCAAGTACAAAAAAAGGTTTATTTATTTATTACTCAAAGCCATTTACTTATATAAATGAATTGCACCACAGATATTTTTAGATGAAGATATGATTAGCTGATGGGGAAAAAAAACAGTGTCCCGCAAGCAGAAACTCGCCACGTTACGTCCACTCGTGTTCCCAAACCGCAAAGCAAACATGTGATGTTTAAGGGGGATGACAGCAGAAAATTAAATCTATAATCTTTTATGAAGTTATGAGAACAGCCCAAATTATAATTGTTCCATTTCCTCCAGATGTGGGAAACTTAACTGACCGTGAAATTAAAATTCTTTGGGCAAAAGCCTTGAAGCTTTATTATGCAGTGCAGATGTTTTAAGTGCAGCGATTATTGGCCAAGCCAGCAAAACAGAGAGAAAAGGCAATAATCCTGCATACTGGAATGCAAATGAAAAATACCTTATGTTAGTGCAGTGCTATTCCAAGGATAAACATTTTCAGTTAAATTTAAGGAGGAATAATCATTATACATGACATTTAATATTGAAATTCACTTCAAAATTTCTGTACACGTTCAAAAATCCACAGAAGTAAACCACTGGAAACAGAGACCATTGCAGACGTTACTCTACTGCAATTTCTCTTAATACAGTCGACCTTTCTGCATCATGATATATTGTGGAGTCGGCATAAGAAATTAAATGAGAATTCTTTGGGAGTTTTTGGCCGTCTTACAAAAGTCGCAGATGACACCCGAAAGCCAGCAGGCAATACACAAAGTATAGTGACTCATAAATGCATAAAAATATACATACAGTGCTGGTGTGGAGGATGCCAAACGTGTTTACTGCAGCCTCCTTTGTGATATCGCGCAGTGATCTTTGCATCTTGTGTTTCTCATATCTTTTCACTTCGCTTCGTTCGCATGCTCGATTTGCTCGCCAAGGGGACCAAAAAAATTTTACGCAGTTTTTCCAGACTGCAGGGGGCCTGCGCCCGTAACCCCCACGACGTGGTAGGGTTGACTGTAATATTACATGTATTTATGTGCTGCCTTTCTAATACCCATGGACATTTTACAGGGCCAAATGAAGAAACAGAAGTACAGAGCAGCAATACACTGCACATGGTAAACATCACCAAAACAAAAGCAAGTAAAGAAAAAACAGGGGAAACAATATATCAAAATAACGTTTAAATAAGCATAGTAACCCAAAAGGCAGAGATTAGGAGGCAGCACCCCAAACAGCCTGCCACCCGTGGAGGTAGGTCTAAACCCTGATGACCTACTGTAAGCACATGGCCTGGTATATAACAGCAGAGGAACCTTCAAATACATAGGGGCTAGACTGTGAAGAGTGTGAAGGTAATCAATGTGAACTTAACCTAGTAAGCAAGGGGAAAGTGATATGAGCAGAGTGTTTATTGTGCACAAAAATATCTGAATGAACAGTAGTCTATGGAGAATTTTGGAATTCACCAAACTTGTGAACTGTGAGGATTTAACAAGAAATCCATTAAAATCCATCCACTTTCTGAAACCACTTTACTCCTATGGGCAATTTGGCAACTCCAATTAATCTCAGCATGTTTTTCGACTGTGGGGAGAAACTGCAGTTACCCAGAAGAAATCTCACAACGACACATGTAAACCCCACACATGGAGCCATGGCGGAGACTTGAACCCAGGTCCTAGAGGTGAGAGGTAACAGTGCTAACAACTGCACCACCCCACACCAACTAACAGAACTTCCATATTAACAAAAAAAAAAAAAAACAACTGTAACTCCACCATTGATTCAGGTCATGAATAGAGGACATTATTGAGGGGGCTGGCAGGGCAGTAAAGAATGCAGCGTTTCTTATTATTAGAGAGCCCCAAACTGAACCCTGGGGTACAGAAACAGGAGCAGATTGTGTTTATGAAGTAAAATAAAGTGCTTTCTGTCAGTGTGGTGAGAAGTACAGCAGGCGACAGTAGTGCCCATATCAGTAGCTGAGAGGCAGGTAAGAATGATACCATGTATGGAGAGCAGGGCCAAGAACAAGGAGAAGGATGTTGAGGATCCCAGAAATCTGACTCTAAGGAGAGAAGGAGAGCTACAGTGTTCCAGTGCTATGAAGGAAGCGAGAACCTGACTGGGAAGGTCTGTAAAGATTACAGGGAAGCGAGAACCTGACTGGGAAGGTCTGTGAAGATTACAGGGAGATAAACTGGCCTCCGGTTGGAGGCAACGACCTTTTTAAAAATTTAAGCTAAAGAAAGGAGATCAGAATCTTACTGCAGCTTATTCTATTAACCATAGTTTTACATATATATACACATACACACACATATATATATATATATATATATATATATATATATATATATATATACACACACATACACACACACACACACTTTATAGACACTATACACACGTCGCTGGGTATACAGAATATAGTTGTACATTTAAAGAAACTATACAGACACGCATACACATACACACGGAGTATACTGCGGTTTGACAGTGTTATCACGTGTAATACTCCAGAGGAAAAACTCATATGCTATAGTCCTCATCTCACAGTGATTTGCTGCACTGCCTGTTTCTGCCAAGCCTATACCTTTGAGCAGAGATAGCTATTCCACTTTCCACACGAGCTGCATTAAGAAGAGGCCGTCTGTTACAGCATCTGTTGTAATGAACTAAGTGCAGTGAAACACAAGGCCTATATTCCCAATAAAGACCCACATACAGGTACTATGGCCACCCTGCCTATGCTAGTCTCTCATACCTGCTGTTTATACCAAAGCCTATGGCTCTGAACCCTGTATGTATAGAATGCACCTATTGTGTCAATGTAACAATAAAACCGGGGAGGCTTTTCTCAGCTTTGCACTATACGGCTCTCCATTCAAACACAGAGCTGCGCAGACAAAAATAGTAACACTACTGTCAGCACTACAAAAGACTTCTAGAAGCACCATAGATACAGAAATATATATGCACACGCAAGCATTTGTGTATGCATATTATGCACATGATATATGCGTATTATACACTGGTGTGTGTGTGTGTGTGTGTTGAATCTTATATTTTCAGTTATTTCAAATGCGTGCAGAGATACACCTTTTAAACAAATATACAAGTAACCATTGAGTCAATCTTGGTGTATCTTGATCGTTATAGGGGAGAGGTCAAATATACTGTATCACACCTGATACAATATCACGCGCACTTAACTAAACCTCCGTAGCGGCATGGTTCTTACTGCATGCCACACACAAGGTAAAAAACACCCGCTAATGTCCACAACGTCTACTTTTATTAAGGCTCTTAAGGAACCTCAGACGTAAGTATCAGGCGTTAGTCGATAGGACACAAGTCATTGTATGACTGTATGCATATGTAAAACTATATAGATATACACACATACTCTGATAACGTCAGGACTGAAAAAAACAAGACAATCTACACCACAATAAAAATCCAGAAAAAATATGAGTTGGGTTGAACTTAATGTTCTGTTTATTTTCATAATACAATGCCACAAACATCAGGATCTCACCCCTGCATTAATCTAAACTACCGTAAGTATAACCATTAAAAAGTCTTATCCCCATGAGAACGTGCACCCACACACACTTGAGGCAGCCACCACATCGTCCCAGGACTCACCCCCGGAAGAACGTTATTGTGGACTGTTCCATCCTGCTCCATCAGGCTGCGGGAGATGGTGATGTAGGGCAATTCCAAACTCTGAGGGGGGAACTGCGGGGTGAACTGCCCTCCCTGCAAGTGGGGGGCGTCCAGCGTGCCTGGGAAGGTCGTGTCCCCCTCGGATGCACCAAAGACCGGCTCCGTCTCAGGAGGGGGGGTGATGGGCGGGATCTCAAACTCCTCATCGCCTAGGCTGGGCGTGTGGAAGGTTTGCTACAAGAAAGATGAGAATTCAAAGTAAGATTTCCATTTGAACTGCAGCTGTAACAGTGGATCCACTATTACTCTGATTAAATTTGGGCATATTTGTCTTTTTTTTTTTCCTCAAAAGTTTACAGATCAAAAATAGAGTTCACCAAATAAAATCTAAATTATAAGAAAAATATTTAAATAACCCAAACCCTTCCTTCCCCCAGAAAACCACCCGGCCGTCTCTGGAAAAGAAATGAAAAACATTTGGCTACTGCTGACGTGTGTTTGGGAGAGAACTGGAGAAAATACATGTCACAGTGAGATTGCTTTGAATGATATTTCCAGAGCTTATTAACCCTGACCAGAAGTGTTTCCCTTTGTTCGCTTTCCTCCTGCCCTTAAATCTGCCCATCAGACAGCTTAATCTCTCTGCCTTGGAATTAAAGCTTTCGGTCACAGTTAAATTGCTTTTATTTTGTCACTTTGTGATGGAATTTCTCACCTTCCCCGATCAAGTCTGCAGTCTGCAGATTCACAGCGGGCCTCGGACCGATCCCCTAGGAAAGCCAAGACCCCTCCCACAGCTGTATAAACACTAAGGCCTCGAATGCCACCCCCAGACTACCTCCAATATGTAGCTACACAGAAGCTGTTTGCTTTCACGAGACGGGATCTCTGTTCGGTCATTAATCTGCTTCTAACATGTTGGGTCCCATATGACTGAAATTAAATTTAGCTTGTTACCTTCAGCGGTAAGTCCTGCTTCCTGCTCTTTGCCATCGACCCTTCAGTCCGCAGGTGTTTAAGAAGAGCAAGTAGCTGCAGAAATGCACTAAAACACCCGCTATTACGGCGCTTTGACGCAGCCTGCGCTGCATTACAGCGCTGACATTGGCCAGTGGATTCACTTCGAAACTCTGAAAGTCACGAGTCTGATAAGCATCGATGAGATGTGCCTGCACAAGCAAATAATAGCATCTTCCCTCTCTCTTTGGTTTAATAACTACGTTCGCCCTTCTAGCAATTTCTTTCACAGCTATCAAATTGGTTTTCCATTCCGAAATGACAATTCTGCTCTCCCCCTCCCCCCACTGGCTTAGTGTGTGAGAAATGACGGCCCTCCTGTTCCTGAAAACACAACTATGCAGCCTTGCTTCTTAACGATCCTCACTGGGTGAAAATGTCAAGGTCTTAACACATTTGGCATGAGTCATGGAAACCACAGCGAACTACTCTCAATATGACAGGGTTATCAGCAAAAATGGGCTAAGAACGCTATATGCACAATTTTCATATTTTGAGCCATTATTTTAAAATACGGTATGTTGATGGCCGTACACCTTTCATGAAATTTTACAGGTCAAGAATATTTTTTTGAATTATTCCAATAAAGTGGCACTGAATGTATATCCTGAAATGATTCTCAAATGTGCAATTTCACAGACTATTGTGCAAATTACTTCACACTTTGATACTGCATGCTAGAACAGCACATTGTACAGTAGTCAAATGCACAAAAAAAATCTTCATAAGGATCTATCACATAATTCAAGTGACCTGAGTCAGAATCAGAGAATGCAAGCAGAATGTTGCCTCAGACATCATTAAGGGGAAAGAATGCTTAAATCAGTGACTCTATTGAAATAAATAGTCAATGAGCTTACATACAATATAGACGCACAACATAAGAGTTAGACCCATATATGAAGGGTACAGCCCAGGCTGAGGTGAGGATCTGCTTGGGCACAAAACATACCCACTGTCATTTTTGACATTGTGGTATCCTGGGGCCTGCTGTCGCATGGCCCGATAGAGTCCACTTCACACCACGCTAAACTTTACAGTCTCTTCACATGAACCTAGCCTAATTTTGGACTGGAAGAGGCTTATGAGTCTCTGATCCCAGATTAAGAGATGCAAAATCCACTTTATTCACGTCAGCCCCCTGATTATCCATTTAAATTGTTCTGAAAGCTCAGCAAAGCTCAGTAGCCACCTAGGGAATGAGGATGAAGGAGGAGGGCTGTCCGTTTAAGAGTGTGGATTCCACTGACCAGTCACACATCATCACACAATTCATTTAAGAGAGGCTGCTCCCAGAATGCACTGGGCCACCCCTAACCCTAACCACTATGTTTATGACATCTGTGTTTGTGCAGGGAGTGTGTTTGAATGGGGAAATGGTATGGAAATGGGACCGAGAAATGGAAAGAGAGAAACATGGGTTGAGGGTGGGGAGACTTAGTTTAAAGTTTCAGGTGTAATTGCATAATAACAGCTTTGAAAATATACTCAGCTTCAACTCAGCGTTTCTATATCAGGTGAAAGTATACTTTCAGAGATCCTTTAATTTATTGGAAACTTCTTCAAAGTTCAGCTTAGCCGACAAACTAAATTAATTTCATTATGATTTTATGATTAAGCCGAGTGACACATGTGATACCTGTGTGAAACCAAAACTAAAACTACCATTTTCCCCTCTTGGAAAGCAATAAAGGAGACTTTCATTACATAAGCAGGCTGAGGCTCTGTCATGTGACACTGCCAAAACGCCAAGTAATTACACACCAGCCTTCCAAAATAATCTGCTACTTATAAGCTATGAAGTGGTTTCCTTTTTCCTTTCTGAATGCGACTCGAACCCCCATCATAAACTATGTGGTTTCCTTTTGAGCTCTTCTGGTGGAGGCCATCTTGTCTACTGCTCATCTGAGAATCCACACTTTAAAAACATCCAGGCCTGATCAGCAGGCTGAAAGATCCATGATTGAAAAACCACAGCTGATATAAAGGTAACTGAATTTGCAGCCTCCATTAAATATTATTTGACACTGGAATTTCAGCCAGACTCCCTGTGATGCTGAGCAAGATAAACAGATATGAGAGAGGGGGAAGGATGGATGGATGGATGGATGCATGGATGGATGGATGAATGAATGGAAGGAAGGATGAAACACTACCTGTCAGCAATAATTAATCAACATAATTTTTTTTAAGTGCTTTGCTATTAAAATAGATGCCTCAGGTTTGTGAATGACTCCCACCTACTGCCCCTCCCCCCTGCACCCCTGACTCTGGTGACACAATCTACCTCCAACCAGCGATGTGCTAATTCATCTTCTTTTGCGCTAAAACCTGCCACACAGGACCGACCCCTTATCTACCGCTTTCTCTTATCCACTTTGCAATATTTGCATTATGTTTAGATTGCATTGTGTGTCACATTGCACCTTGTGCCGGTATTTATGTTTGCAATTGTAATTGGATTTATTGTCTTACAGTAAGCATCTTCGTTTGTATTTGTGATCTGTATTTTGTGTTTGTTTGTATGTATTTATGTTTCCCAGAGGCCAGAAGGACACAGAGTAAGATTTTCATCACATAGTGGAGCTGACTGTTTACTCTGCATATGACCATAAACTCTTGAATCCAGTGTAAAAGCAGAACTAGCACCCAGTGTCATAATAAGCCCCTAATGAGAGACCAGTGTAGGTCTCACAGCCAACCCTACAATTACACCCTCTGCCTGGGCTCGACACTCAGAGGATTAATACGGCCTGCGGTATAGAGGAAAAAATGCATCTACTGTGAAATCACATGACTGCCTTTAGAGAACCGCATTTTTAAATGTCTCTTCGGTTTATGTAACGAGCAACACCGACACATGCCAAAAATCCTGCTTAAAATAAAGCAAAAAAAAAAAAAAAGTGAGAGGAACATGTGGTTGCCGGCTCCGCTGCCAGCTCCTGAAATGCGCGCTGCAGCGGCGGGCCATCTGCACCACAACACCGGCAACATTTGCTCCTTTTGATAAAATGCAAATCTGCGAGGCTGGTGTATGAACTCCCAACAGCCTGCAGCCTGACACACCGCGTCTCCACAGCTGGGATTGAACTGTTTCTGAACAGCTGCTGCTGCCTCTGCCGGCTGGCTGGCCACGCTCTGCCCAAACTCGGATTCCTACGTGTAGGTGTTTTTTTGGGGAGGGGGCGGGGGGGTCCAGCTGAATGAAATGGAGAGAGGGGCTCCTGACGCAGCACGGCTGTCACACGGCACCCTCCAGCTCCTCGTCTCACGCTCCTCAGCCGAGCCTTGAAATAGCCGACTTCTCTCGTGATCCCCCGACTCGGCCAACATCCACGCAAATAAGCTGCGTGTGAACGACCATCCTTCTCGGGCGGGATTCGCACCGTGGGGGCCGAGGTGCCCGAGATCCGTTACACCTCATTTAGGCCCCCAATTCCTAACCGAGCTTCGCCGAGCCCAGCCACAGATCCCTATCCTTCCCGTTGTTCTCGGTGCCGTGGAAGGAGGCCTTAGTATCCAGGGTCAGGCTCGTTTCAGGAAGATGTCATCAGGAGGGGCTGATAGCACCGTTAGCTATCCAGGGGAGGGATAGAGAAGGCTCCTTACAGATACGCAGCCCTAGTCCATGCACAGAATAGTGGTCCAACCTGCAATGATGTAACTCAACAGTAAAGATGCAACATCATTCTTCACCAATAATCGAGTTATCGTGTGTCGTGTCGAGTCGAATATCCCTAATACAGCCTAGTCGTAAATGTACCTTCATGGGAGTGAAATTACGCAGAAAAATTTAGGAGTGGGGGAGGGTTGTACATTTTCAAAGGGGACAATTTTGCTAATTTTTCCCCCCACGGGGAATGGCATCCACACGTAACCGAGGCCTGTCCTTAGCCGAAACCCCATCTGTCCATTTTTACAGCAAACATCCCAACGTATTACCCTACATCGGCCTGATAATCATCATCAGCACAAACCCAGAATTAGCCTCCCTTTAGCTGCAGTATGTTCTCCTAAAATAATACCGAAATTGCACAAAAACTGCAAAGACTGCAAAATGCAAATGACCTATATCCTCATCAAACAGTTGAATAAAATAAATCTCCGCTGTTGTTACAGTGGAGGATTTTCTGAGTTGCTACCCCCCCCCCCCCTCACTGCCCCAGCACCACCGGGCATGCGTGGCCAGCTGAAGGACAGCTTGATGGACTGTGTAATGGAGAAGTCTTTCTACGTCTAATTAAACCGCCCTTTCTTACGCTGCACTTCATAGAAAGGAAGAAGACATTGAAAGCTGGGAATCGGCCTCATTTGTCTTGCATGCATCCCTGCCCAGAGCATAAAAGGACCAAATGGGAAGATGGAGAGAGTGTGTGGGCATTGGGGAAAGGGTACTTACATCACCAGCTGCTAGGAGCACGCCGTTCGCCTCTGCCATGTTCATGTAGCCGTTATTGTACCCAAACTGCTGGGAGGGGAAAAAAGATAGCCTTATATTAGTGTGCTTTAGAATCTACCTTTACCACAATATGAGATCACACCATGTGAAGATCCAATATATTAAGTGCATTGAAAGCTTAAAGTCATTGTAAATCCAGCCAGGCTAGCTGGGTCAAGAAGATCCAATCCAATCGGTCTGTTCTGATGTTGGATTAACCTCGCGGCGTCCTTGAGTGCAAGTGCTGTTATATTACTCCGTTACCGCAAAGAGAAAAAAAAAAAAACGCGCACAGGCAGTTTAACAGAAGCAACAGAGAAAGAGGGCTGGCTATTCAGTGCATCAGGAGCGACAATTAATGGCACGTTTGCATCACAAAGCGAAGTAATGAGACGCAACACAAATTCATTAACTTTCAGATGCCCGAGAGGGAGGGTGCGGCCGTCACTCGAAATGAGAGAACAATGTTTGTCTTGATTCCTGTCAGAAAGTACAAAAGTACTGCAGGAGACTGGACGACTAGCTAATCTATCCCTTGGGGCGGAGTACAGAAGACCTCTCCTTTCTTCCGAGACGAGCCCACTGACAGGTATTAGCAAAAGGACACGGAATGAAGAATCGCCGGCAGCATCCCGAGTCAGAAATTTTACGCGTTTCTGTGCGAACTCACACAGCTGCGACGCACACTCAAGAAAATGGAACGCTTCTGTTTTTCATTTACAAGGGGCCTTCGCGGAGAAACGCGATCAAACACCATTACGCTAAAGCTGACATGTACGATTTGACATATCATTACAAATGTAAATCTAGGGTTCTGCCCCAAACCGCAGCATAAGTATCACATGGATGCTGGGGGGAGGGGTGGTGGTTAATAATCTGTGGCATAATCAGGACAATTATTCATTACATAAAATGTTTCTTTTCCCCTTTTTCTTTTGCCTTTCAGTAAATCAGGAAAAAAAACAGCCAATCAGCTGTGAATGGCATCCGCTAATTAGTATATTCCCTGAGGAAATGGGAAAAAGTCAAGTAATAACAACAAAGCAAAAAGAAAAGTGCCTAAACCAAACCTTTGCTTTAAAAAGACCAGAAGTAATGTCTCACTGTACGGGTTTTAACAGCACCGGCCTGCACATTTCTCTCAAATTTAACACTGGGGGAGCAGCATCCACACTGTAACACACTCTGGGCCTAATTAACCTGGCAGAGACCTGTCTGTGGGACACGGGCCTGTGCTTTTCTTCTTCACCGCTGAAACGAGAAGCTTGGCCACTAAAATCAATCTTCTGTATTAAATCACAGAAGGGTGATCTGTGAAAGTAGCGCCTGGTAATACTCCCACTATGCCTATTTTTAGGCTAAGAATGAGACCAGAGGATACAGTAAACAATACTCTGCCTGGAAGGCAATGGAGAATCCTGACATGGGGGGGGGGGGCTTATATTCTAAATTTTTAATCTCCCCCTCTAATATCTTTGCAGCCCAATGCAAACAGCCCATATCGATACACTCTTTAAGCATTAGGAAGGTAAAAGTGGTGCTACATGAGTAAGTCATGCAAGAAATATAGAAAAACACAAACAAAATATAGACATAGAGAAGCTGTATCGACTCAGCTGTTGTCAAATTGATGCATTGGCACATTAGTCTTGATGATATGCCTTAAATAAGATAGGAGAAAGAACTGTTAACAAAGAAATACTAAACCACTAAACTAATATTAACAAAGTGTGGTTTGAGTAGCTTGCAGACAGCTGGTCTTTATTTTTAGAGCAGTTCAGTTCATTCTGTGAATGCATTTTGTGTCCGTGTTCAAAGGCTGCCCAACTGAGCCAAATGCCAAACGAAATTAAGAGTGATTGGAGGATCTGCACTGCTGACAGAGGGGTCTATACAGAACTGGGTCATCCCACACAAAGGGCGCTCTATAATTAAAGAGATGAGGAATTGATGATGGCTGCTTTAGGTCAATTAGCGCAAACAAAGCAGTATTTCCATGGAAAGTGTTTCAGGAACCACAGCAGGTAATGTGATTGGTGGATCTGGAAAGACAGACAGGAAAAAGTGGAAAAACAAACTATTGCAGCTCAAAACGTAATTCAACTGAAATGATTCATCAACCATGAAAATGCGTACTCTGACCGTGGAGATTTCCACAACAGTCCACTGTTTGACTTTAACATTAACGGCTGTGATATGTGAAATACACGTATCGAACTTTCAGAAATATCCCGAAAAATAAATGACAAAGATTAACAGTTTGGGATAAATCTCTGTTAAGTTTTATGTCTGGCAAACAGGTTGGCTTAAATACCTCACAGCTGCCAAAAGACTTGCTGGTTTTATAATTAGATGGAATTATGATATAATCATATCACTTGGGGGAGCAGTTACTCAAATGAATTTTTTTATTTTAAATTAAACTGGTGATCATGCATCTGCAAACAAATATGAAAGATAATGAGAATTTGCACATGATTTGAATCATATTTCTGCCAGTATAATTCTTAGGCATAGTATCCAGGAATAAATTCTTTAACAATGCAGACATGCAATATTGGCTCACACAAACAGCTGATAAAGCGGTCCACTCATTCACATGTCCACCGTACAATACTGATATGCAGCAATCATATGCTACGAAAAAATCACTAGCATTAACATTGTCGAATGCATTAAGATATAATCACCTGGACCTACCTCTGTTAATATAGAGCTAATTCTCTCCAATCCCCCAAAACACCAGCGCATCTTCTGCAATTCTACGCTACTCTTGCCTTTTGAAAATTCTTAAACTTAAAGTATTTTTTTATACTACTGAACTATCTCAGTTGTATAATCCTGAAAAGTTCTTATATTTGGGGCATCAAAACACACAATACTTGTTCTAACAGGCAAGTTCCCAAAAAAAAATACATCTGGCATTCTTCTGAAAGAAGACAGGACATGCTTTGATAAGGTACAATATCGACACGCTACATTTTGCAGCCGATTGCTGATATGAATCTAGCAGATATAGACAAAAGCCCTCAATCTGGCAGCAAGGTACAGATTGTCAGAAAAACACCACCAATCTTGTTTGCATTCACTGATTATGAGATTGTTACTATTTACAAAAACAGTACAAAAGATCGCCATGTTTCTGTCACTCTTATCATTGCGTCTCTTTTCACAAAAGTGCAGCGAAATCTCTTCAATCAACAGAGGAAACAAGGCAAGACAAACAGGACTTAGGTCCTCTTCACCATCTGCTGCTCTGATGAAGTCGTCTCACAGTTACCTTTCTATTTCCATGGCACCTGAAGCCAAAAGATACAGTCAATTACAACCCAATTCATGTTATACATTCAGGGCAGCTGCTCTGACAAGATCATTTAAACTCAGCTGGAAAACACACATTTACCGCATAGACTTGCTTTTGTGCTTGCAACTTGGTTTTTAATGGTTCAGTTTCCTACACGTATTCTTTGTATCAAATTAAACAAATAAAGCTAGCACATATTCTTTAAGGCCTACTGTCCTATAAGCGGATGTAAAAAGAAGTTTATGTTCAAGTCAACCCTGATCTTCTTTACAAAACACTAGCCAGACGGCAGCTTGATTGAGCCTGTGTACTGCATCTCAGCTCCGTGTTATGGGGGCCGCAGCTACGATGCCCCGTCTCCCTCATTCAGAGGGCCTGCTTAATGTCTTGGTAGGATATCTAAATGGCAATTAAAAGAACACCTGCGTCTTCAGGTGCTTGTGGTAATTAATACCCTCCGCACAAGGCCCTTGCTTACCGTTCCACCTGCTGATATTTATATGCAAAATTATGCATCCAAAATGCCATTTCCAACATATGGAGTGTAAACAAGTTTTAGTGAATAAGATCTGAAGTAACATGATTATAAAGTGTAATTTATCCACAGAGACATTTTCTTCCCTTCCTTTAAACAATCCCTCCATCCTTTCCCAAAAGTCACAACAAACCACTTCCACCCTTCAGTGACATCACCATTTTCATTCTGGGGAGGGTTCCCTCTTTTAAACTGGAGAGGGGGGCAGTGTTAATAAAATTCCATAATATACCTTACATCTGACCTCCAGCACTAAGATGGGTAATTGTTAATATCATTATTTGCATTTGTGCCAGGAATTCTGAAGATGAAGACTTCTGAATGTGACAGCAATACAAATTTCATGCAATAAAAACCAGTGATGCTTAGCAGTTGAATCTAGTGGCGCAATGATGCAAAACAGGCTCTATGGACAGATAATGCATTATTTACTACAGCATGTCCATTTTAACAGCATGTCCATCACTCGAAGATCACGTAAATATTTCAACGTTAGCCTTTCTAACAGCGGCAGAATTCTGAAGATGCCATTTCTCATCTTAATTAGTGATTTTATGAGTGAGGTTTTAAGATGGCACAGAAGCTTGGACGAAATATAATCAATGACAGACTGAAGCTTGGTATACCAGAATGCATAGAGACAGACAGACAGACAGACAGACAGAATAATAAAAGACCCACAGATAACTGGGTCAGACTGCTTTGTTCAGCAGTAATGTTGCACTCAAAGAGACCACTTCAAAGAGTTCTCCCGAGTACATTAAGCACAAGGGAACTTAGATCAGAGAAGAGGAAAAATTTCCAAAGAAAATGAAAATTTTCCGTTTGAAAAATAAGGAACTTAATGCAAAAGTACTCAAAAGTGCCATACGCTGCTTTGCCGGATGGGTGTGTCTGCAGTGTGCTGCTCAGAGCCTCATTCCTTTCGGCCGCTTCCTGCTTTGTTGGCCTGCCTTTTACAGTCAACTGTATTTTAATGCCCCAACAGGCTCATTGACATCATAAGAAACCACCATCCCTCCCAAGCCCCTCCCCCTCCTGTTTAGTTAATGGCTTATGTTCTGTGAACATTTTATATTGCTTATGTAGCAAAGACATTTTAATGGGCAAATGGAGATCCAAGCAGAGAGGTAAACGGTACAGCCGACAAGGGAGCGACGGATGGTAGCTAACCATCAGTAATCCAC